GTGTCCATCTACAATAGAGATTTAAATCCTAAATTGACTAATCACAGTCGCGTATTCTACTCATACTTGGCCGTGATTGGTCAATTTCTTAAAGCTTAGGGCTTAAATCATCTATTGTAGACTGGGACTTAAGGCCTGTGTCCACGATGCTAGGACTTGGCCCAAGTTCTAGTTTCGAGAAATGTGTAGCCAATGAACTTGTAGCTTTTATGGAATAGCTGCGAGTTGATTGGCCACACATTTCTCGGAACTAGAACTAGGACCAAGTTCTAGCATCGTGAACACAGGCCTTCAATAACGTGGTTAAAGCTTATCACACAATGGCCGCGTTCAACAGACACAACTGTTGAGTGAGTATGATTGGTTAATACTTTTAGATCCAGCCAATCGTATTAAGGAATCATTGAGCGCTCGCTCAACAGTTGTGCCTGCTGAACGCAGCCATTCTATTCCCTGTTCCAGGGGCCCGATTCTTGAATTTATTCAAAGAAGAAACGTATACGAAAACTCTGCTCTGACAGAAAAGTTGAAAGTCTATTGGTTAAAGCCATGCGAGTAGCCAATCAACTTGCAACTTTTCTGCAAGAGCAGAATTTTCGCATACGTTTCTCCTTCGAATAAATTCAAGAATCGAGCCCCTGTTGCCTGGGCATTGTGTGACAGGCTTAAGCCTATCACACAATAGGAAAGCACAGGGAATAGAACTTCTGACGCGTTGGATTGGTTGGAAGAAAATTTCCGACGAATCAAAAATTCTATTCTCTATTCCTATTGCCTGTTGCCAGGCATTGTGTGATAGGCTTTACATCGGCCAATCGGCGACGTGGACAACTGAACCTTATTACACTCCCTCCTGCTATCCGTTTCCTCTATGGCCAGACCGCGGTGGCGCCGGTGGTGCTGAAAATCGTCCCCCTCTATCCACGAAGAAGGTTTGGTTTCGCTTCTCGCACGGTGGTCGCGTCACTCACCCGTTTACTGATTTTCCTGAGTACGAATCGGCAGGCTCGAGTCGCCCTGAGGCAATACGTGGATACCTCCGAATCCCTGCAACACTACACCTACGTACGTTTCTTCCCTCGTGATTAAGATAGCATCTGCCGGGCATCTTGACGTAGTGTATTCTCTTCGATAATCCCTATCGGGGGGGTAGGACAGGCTATATCGGTGCATGCGTCGTTCACGGGGGTTGCTTGCCGATAACTGAATTCCCGGCTCGCTTCACGCGCACCGCACGTCCTTTCGTCTCGGACCCGCGGTCTTTGCGACGGGCCCTCCTGTACGAAACGAGAGCGGCAGCCACCCGCTCGCGAATTAAACATTCCCGCATCTCGGGCCACCTTTTCTCGGCCGGATCGTGTACGCTTTGCGTTTCCGTGCGTCGCGAGAGCCGTTCGAAGAGTTCTCGGAATTTAGTACGAATGGCACTCGAGCGACACGTTAAATGGAAGGCTCCGAGTCGTCGCAGCGAATAGCTTATTGTTTAAAGGACCGTCTGCATCGGAAGTGAGCAGTGAGAAGTAAGAAACCCGTAACCTTTACTTGGCAGTGTAAAAGCTGAAGTGCAGGGGCATAATTTTGCAAAATATATAGCGCTGTTCGCGCTCTAATTCGCCGAGAGTAGGTGTCGAAGCTGAAAGTAGAAGTAAGAAATGGAAACAATCAATCTCTTTACTCCTGCTCTCGCTTCTCACGCCAGACACAGGGCTCAAGTGCAGTAGGCGTTTTATGATAAATTTCGGAAATGCAGTCCATCCCGCGAGGTGATACAGCATTTGCTCACGGATATGCGCAGCGACGCATTGTTAGAACAAAAGAATTATATGTACGAATACCTATTCATCGATACATACGGATATTCCGAGAACTTGTTGTGCAACGTCGGACAACCTTTCTGACATTGACCGTACCCTCGTCACGAATGCCTTTATACCTGGAAATAGCCGTTCGGTTCAATATACTCCGATGGAAAGATTAATTTTTTTCAAAATAAATTTGCCTACTGGACGTCTCTTCTTTCTCTTCAGGTGCAAAGGCATTCGTGACGCCGAGTGTACACATTATGCAGATAACGTAAAGAATTGTTTAACGCCAGTAATTGATTAATCAATGTAGAAAATTGCATGACGACCCATGGCTGGCAAATATTTTTCGCAATAAATTTCTTTAATTAGAATTCGCCAGCCATGGGTCATCACAGTCGTCACGCGATTTTCTACATTATGCCGATAGTTCGCTCGACGATCTGTAGACGATCAACTACTTGCTGGAGTTAATTGGAACTTTCCATCGAACGTACGACGTCTGCTGAGCGCCTTTGTACTTAATTCTTAAAACTGTTTAAATGACCCTCGTTGCTTCATAATGCTGATGTATAATTAATAACTTAGATGCCTACGTAATGGCGGAAATGAGTAGCGAACGCAGTTATCGGTATACACTGCACACTGCTTAGAGCAACGTAGGTTACTCTTTCATACAGTTGCAACTTTTTGCTTTACTGGAAAATCAAGATCCAGCTTCGCGTGCGGTACAAATGTGCGATAGAAATGTACTTTAATGAAATGACTATCAACACGCGCGGGAATACATCTCTGTCACGACGCTTGCGAACGCTAAACACTAATTTAAATATGATGTTTATACCTGTATTCCTCTGGTAACTTCCAATTGCTGTCGTATTTCAGAGATGTCTGAATCCGATCTTTTAGCTGGCGACCACATCGATGGTCTGGACGGTCTTGAAAATGGCCAGGATGGAGACGCAATTATGCAGTGCGACGGCGTGAAGCGCGAACTGGGCGAAGCGAACGTTGACGATCCTGTAACTAATTGCTATTCTTGCAGTATATGCAGCAACGATATCTCCCTTTTGCAGTAATATTTAACTCGTCCAAATGTTGTTTGTAATCCAGGAATTAGAGGCGATCAAAGCGCGAGTGAGGGAAATGGAGGAGGAAGCTGAGAAATTGAAACAGCTCCAGTCCGAGGTAGATAAGCAGATGAACATGGGCAGTCCGCCTGGTATCAGTAAGTTCGCAGATTTGCGTTTTCTATGAGAAAGTACATCTGTAAATAAAACCAAATACTGTGGCTATGTTCAACCACGTATCTTATTTTAGCGAGCCCATTAAATATGTCGTTGGAAGATAAGATGGAAGTTGACAACCGGTCCATTTACGTTGGCAATGTAAGTTCGGCGTAATTCAATCGTGATTATTGGAATCCGCAGGAAACGGCTTTCCCCTGTAAAGTGTTACTGCAGTATACGATGTCACAAAGGCCTGAAACCTGATATGTCTTTTGTATACGCAGGTCGACTATGGTGCTACAGCGGAAGAGTTGGAACAACACTTTCACGGTTGCGGTAGTGTCAATAGAGTGACAATCTTGTGTAATAAATTCGATGGCCATCCTAAGGGCTTTGCTTATATCGAATTTGCCGAACGCGATTCCGTACAAACCGCAATGGCCATGGATGAGTCTATGTTCAGAGGACGTCAAATTAAAGTAATGCCTAAAAGAACAAATAAACCTGGTTTCTCTATGACAAATAGGTAATGCTCCGTTTCAGATAACATGCCTTGTTTTTGCGCAACCTGTGAAACAATACTTTTCCGGAATGTCGGTTGATACGTGTAACTTAAATTGATTTGGATTCTTCTGTAGCGTTGACACTTGTATTTTCAGGGGTCCCAGAGGTGCAAGAGGCTATCGAGGCATGGCTAAAGGAATTATTCGCGGTAGTGCATACTTTGGATACAGACCTACGAGACGACCTAGGTAATAATTTCTATTCGTGGTGCTTTCTAACGAACATATCAGTAATTTCCATAATATCTTTCCTAAAATTGCACTTCGCCGTGTCGTCTATAAATTTTACTACTTTATCATTTTCTCTTACAGGAGTTACAGACGTGGTTATTATATGCCATATTGACCATTTTAAAAAGTGTGGCAACATTATTTTGCAAGTGTCAAGGTAAGTTTTTATTTTACGTCATGTAAACGTGATCATTCTTATTTACCGCTCAAAGAAAAGTTCTCAATGTAAAAAGATTTATTATATGCATATCTATGCCTAATTTTTATTAATAATTAACAATTTTATGCTTTTTTTTAAGAGGTACAAAGAAATTATATATTTACCACAGCAAAAGAATATTTCTTTGAACGTTTTTAAACTTTCTGAAGGTTTTTGAACTTTATTAATTTTATTATACCTGAAGGAAAGACCAATTCACTTGAATCGGATAATAATAAATTGTCCGAATAACGGTAACAGTGAAACAATATAAATATTTATGCATGCCTTAAATTAGAGCTATTTAATTAAACGTTTTTAAGCGATTCGCTCCTATTTCTCTTTTATTCAGTCGTGTAACGTGGTCTATTAGAATCATTCGCGTAATTCTTTCAAATAACTTTCACATAAGAATATATAATTTATTGGCCATTCCTTCATATGGTTTAGATGACAAAATTTTGATTTAATAGTAACTGTTACTCCTAACAAACTTAACTTTTAATACATATAATCTGATGTATCTATATGATCGAACTCAGTAATGTAACAAAATTATAACAGTTGTGTATAATCGTTTTATTCACTGATCATAATGAAATATGATATCTAGATACATTAGTATTGACACTTGGCCATAATAAATATCTATAGGAAAGTTCTCTATTATGAGATAGGTTTCTAACATGAGATAGAAGGTTTTCAACACCCAAAATCAATCACGAATCTTTCTTCGCAACGATTACACGATCTAACAATGAATTTTTCCCTAAACAGATTTCGCTCCAAGGACAGTAAATTCATAGTGGAATCAACTAATAATGCCTATTAATTTAACTCCGCTATCCCATATTAGGATCCTATCTTATAATAGGAGACTACTATTAAAAAATATTGCAATATATGTATATAAAATTATAAAATAATATCTTGTTTCGCATCACTTTTCTGTATATAGTTGTTCTGGTTTAGCTAAAAAAATGATTACGTTCTTATTCATGTCAAAAAGATACTCATTGTTCATATAATTTAATACTTCACAAATTGTGTGAAAGTATAGAGTATGGCCTTGTGAGATATAATATTGCAATTTGTAAGTTTTTGTGAAAAATTGATTAACAATTCGCACAAGAAACTTACAAACGTGTATATCATCATGCATTACATTGGAAAGCGGTTAAGGTATTTAAGTAAATTCTTATGATATGTCCACAGAAAAAAAAACTGATACGAAGGGAAAAAAAAGAGAAAAACATCACATGTCAAAAGAAAAAAAGATTGGACAGTTGGGCACAATTAATTATATTTGATTTAATAATTATTACATAAAACTACAAATGTAGACAACAGCGATCATTCACTATTGTAGTTCAATAAGTTTTCGTTAAAGCTTCAGTGCCAATAAATTCCATTAAGTCGAATTTTGTATCCGCCTTAAAGCGTTCAAAAAGTGGTTTGTGTGTCACTTACTTTACATATGTTTCAACTGCTTTACATACCCGATACAAAAATGACGTTTCAAAATATGTTCAGTAAAACATTTTTAATATTTTGCACAAAGAAATTTATAAAAGTATTATAATTTCATCGTTACATAATTAAGTATTATTAGAATGTTTCACTTGAGGTTCATTTCAGTTTGTGCAAATTAAAATATTTGATCACTAACAATCCAACTTATCAATATATCTATATATAAATATACAAAGTGTTTAAACTTCAATAACATATATCATTAATTTTCTATGAAAATAATATTACATGTTTATTAAGAACAATTATATTCATAGTAAGTAGCTCAGGCAAATAATACGATATCGTTTAAAAATATATATGATGAAAATTTTTGTGTGTACACCTGAAAACAAACTGAGAACGCACCGTATTAACTTTCACATAAAACACTTAATAACACATAGTGAATTTGCATGGAACATGTTTGTATTTTAGTGTGGTCTTTTTTACATAAAATGATAAATACTATAATTGTAGAGATAATTATATGTAGGGACGTATGTATTGTGTTAAGGCAGATACAACTGAATATTATAGGTAAAGCAAGAAGATTGAACTAAATATTAATATGTATCTGAATATTCAAAAGTATATTCACAACTGAATAGATTATTATTTAATTAACTATATATGTATATGAATTAATATGTATCATCTATATACTTGGTAAAAAATGCACCGTCAGTTTTGCACGTGAAACAAAAAATGTTATAAGACAACAGTGAAAAGATTGAACTACAAAGTGAATGTCTAGAATAATGTCATATAATTATAATTTGTAGTAAATTTTGTATGCATGATAACTGAAAGTTGCGCCAAGAAATTATGAAATATTATAATTTTGTTCTATGAAATGTTGGACTACACGTTGCATAGCTTTCGACATGTGCAACTTTCATTTATTCAGTACTAACTATACATCTTCAGTTTTATCTTAAACATATTGCTACTAATTTGTAAGACGCGTGTAAAATACGTTTCTGAAATATTGATTCATTGTGCTGAGGTGTTAGGAGGAGTGCCGACTTTCAACACATTTATGATTCAGACACATTTCGTAATGTTACTTCCATGTCGCTAAGTATTTTGCAGGTGCAGCGCAGCATCAGCATCAATTGAGTGATAATGATACAAATTTCATGAACAATTTTTACGTTTCATTAAGGAAAAAAAAAGAGAAAATACTTGAGATATATGTGTAAAATAAAATGTAAAATTAATGAGTGGTAAATAAAGAATTTCTTGGCTAATATAATATTTCAGCTATTTCAATGAGAGGAGAAAGAAAAAGGTGCATTTTTACACATCTACTATTTATTTAAATCTTGTAAAATCAATATTGATGTGTAATAACGCAGTTGCTGATACATAAAAAAAAGCATTAATATATAAAGGCTTGCATAGCATATTTATTAACATTCAGTACCATTCAAATTGATATTTCTTACATTTTAGCTGTCAACATGTAATGATATCAGAAGAATAAATTTCGTTTATATAAATTCGCAATATTTTAGTAACAGATATAATCTAATATTAATATGTATTTCTTTCTTATTACAAACTCTGATTTTTCCATTAAATCTCTGAAGGCAAGTAATACGATCAATTTTTAAGATGTTTTAATATTTAATAATGCAGAATAAATTCCACGAAGAATATTTACTAAAGAAGTAGGTTGAAGATCTGAATTTTTGAAGTATAACACATTAAAAAAAAAGATTATAACACTTTAATAATGTCCCAATACTTAGTTGAATCGTATAATAAGGTAAAGGTTACCTTTTTAAAATTACAAATATTTTAAATGGATAATTGTTTTAACTAGTTCCTATATATGATAGTAGTAATTAACTAGAATGCGAGACAAATCTTACAATCTTCGTTATTGGTAAAATCGTAAGAGTAGATTTGTCTTGGACATTACAAATTACTACAAGTCATTGATTAATTCTATTTTTTGCAACAATTATGGAACTTTAAAGTTGCAAATAAAACTAAAACAAAGATGAATAATTGGAAAAATTTCGATTACTGATACATTTTCCTCTAGTTTCAATGTAAAAATTACATTGTTATATTCAGTTAAATCTCGATATATTTTGAATTTTTTTTTATAAATTGTAAATCTACTTTACTGTGTAGTTCACGCCATACAACTATTGTTGAAATAATTAAAAAAACTTTCGAAATACTATATGACAACATACTTTCTCATCAACACAAAATATATCTACTTCTCAATTCAGATCTTCAATTCAGTCAACTGAATTAAATAACGCGAGTAAAATGTTTTGGATTTATTTACGGTTTGTGTCGTGTGTTTTGTTAATTGCAGTCTATCTTTGTGATATAATTATTCATGGCCATATAATTTGTATGTTCATTTGGTCTAAAGAACAGGATATAGGACTGCACTAAGATAAACATTGACTAGTATACCATGTGGTATTTAATTTGCAAAAGCAACAGCTATCGTTAAGAATTTAATTGAAGCGTTTCCAAAATTGATTGACATAAACTTTGCAAATTTGGTTGTGTCGTATATTCTGTTTGCGTTTTTTCCAATTGTTTTAACGTTTCTACTCCTCCTTCTCTGATTAACATCACGCAATAACGTTTTGCTGAAAATAAAAATACACGATTATATTTACATTTCATTCACAGTGAAATAATTTTCTCAAAAGTCATTATATCATTTGTTGCAATTGCGTGAGAAAGAAATGTGTTTATACTATAATACAATTAAAACATATTTTTATATAGAATGTAATTTGTAAATTTTTACTTTCTCAGTCTTGCATTTATATCATATATCATATAAAATATCTTCCTCTTAAACTTACGGTTCTTTGTGCAAACATGATGGATCGCCCATACTGCCCAGAGTTGAACAGGATACGTATTTATACAACGTAACAGTGGGAAAAATGGTTGGAAGCTACGATAGGCAACCATCTCTCCCTGTGGCGTTTGCCAATGAGTTACAGCATGAACCAGTTGATCTAATAACTGCTCCCTGCTTGGCTGCGATGGCATACTACACCAAGATTGAGGACCATCACTGAGTAGATGTGCAGCGATACCAGCTGCGAAATAAGATACATCAATGTGCTCGGAATCGAGCAGCATAGAAAGCATCTTTATAAACCGAGGTTGCATAAGCCGCGGCCTCAAATGATCGACCTGAAATTTTCAATGCGAAAAATAAATCGCATCCCAATATAAATGTATTTCATTAATGTACAATAATTAATATTGAAGACTCTGATACAAACCTCTGCTATATTATTTAACAGACCAAGAACTTTGGTTTCCACGCTAGATTCCCCTTGAAAGCTATCCAGTACTTCAAGAAATAATTCCATTCCACCTTCGTCAAGAAAAACCTTGCATGTCGCCGCACTCTCGTCCGTTAAATTCCACAGAGCGCTTAACGTAAATTTCATTGTAATATCTACTAATTTGGACTCGACCTTAGATCTAACCATTGCAAGCAACTTTAACATATATTGTGGTTGTGCGCCAAGCAAAGAGGTTTCTAATGTAGATATCTTTGCTGCTAAGATTGAGCAAATAGCCACAGACATACGATTCATGGATGGATCATCAAATGTCGACAAGCAATTCATAACTAATCTTGCGCACCTGTTAAGCAAAAGACATTTTTTTCCTTCAGATTTATTCATACATCAGCAAGACATTCGTATACTGAAGTCTCAATACCTCTATTCATCGATAATAATATTATTAACTTGTGTTTGATTCGCTTTACATGCATAAGAAAAATTAAACCTATATAAAGAAATAACATTTTTATTTATTTATGTTAATATATTTAAAGTAAGTTGCTTTTCTAATTTTGATTGCAACATGAAAATGAATGAAGATAAAAAATAATTATTCGTTTAAATAAGATTCAAGCACTTAATCGTGACAAATTGCACGGGTATTTAACAAGTGTAATTTACAAGACAAAAAGATTGATAACGTCTTGTATACCAAATAAGTAAAGACATCGATACATCGTCTTGCTAAATCTAAAACTATTTAATTGTGCACATTCCCTTCACGTGTTATTACGTTATCAACTTCTATTTACAAAAGCTAGTATCGATGCTTATTGTTTAATGAAAATTTGAATATTACGACAAATAATATAGAAGATATTGATAAAGAGTTAAAAATGAAAGATATTGAAATCTCAGTATACTTGACTAAATTTTAAATTCGTTAATTTATATAACTACCTATATTTGTCAAATGCAACATCCTGTAGGATTCTGTCACTGCACAGGGTCAATAGTGTGTTCTTTTGAAGTTGATGATTAGTCGGATATGATTCCATCGCTAATAATGTTAATTCGACTATTTGTTTAAGTATCGACGGATGAATCATGAGGGCCAATTCACCCTTCGTGAGATTATAGATACACGCAGTAGCAGCCATTTGTACGCGGAACTCCTGTGGATGCTCTCTCATTCCAGGTAACACTAATTTTATCACATCGACCCGTGGTTCAAGGAAGTTTGGTGTCAAACGGAACAAGTTAAATAGACATTTTTGAAGATATATTGGTCTATATGTATACCTCCTAAGCGATTCCAAAATTTGAGACTCTGTTGCCGTACCACTGATCTGAAGCAAAACACAAATAGAATGTATATTATTTCATATGAATTTTATCTGTAAAACGTTTTTTATTCTCTTCTTTTTCTTATCAGTCAAAGGTGACGTCTTCATACTTGCTTTACTTCATCTGTTTAGAATAAATAACAAAACTTCTAACAAGTAAAACAACTCAATTGTACAATTAGCAATATTTTCATGTTTGCACATGGAAATTGATTCGTTATAATATATTTAATGGAAGAGATATACGAACAGTTAACATCGATGTTGTAATAATTTTTCTATAACACACAAACATGTATACAACCGAAAATAAATATCTTTTAAATAAATAAATAACGACCGATACGTGTGTGCAACATGAAATAAATTTAATATTTTCAATCGTCGAGTGAATGGTTGGACGCTCGTCAGCGCATGGTGTGAAGTATAAACAAATGTCTGCGATGCATAAATTGCACGAGGACTGAAAATGTCAAATTTAGAATGGAAAATGTAATGCAATATATAATGATCTATTATAAATGAAATTAATTCAAGGCAAATAAAATATACGAAATAGACGATAAAATATATAAAATTTTGTGTGATTAATAATGCATAAGTAATAATAATGAATAAGGATATCACTACGTATTCAAATACAGCAAAAATATTAATTCCAATTCTTTTTTCAGGTATTAAAATAATTCAGAGGCTTGCGCGGTTAACGTCAATATTGTGTCAACTTACAACAAGTTCAAGTCTATAATCTTCATGTGATGAATCTATAAAACTCTCGTCGTAACAAGCATCAGAATGGACAAGGCCCAGAAACCTCAAATTTACGTGCGACGCGATAAAATGTTTTAAATCCTTCGGATTAATATCGTCTTTGCCTATATGTGAAGAAAACGTGACACTTAATGAAATGTCAATATAATCAAGAAATAATTTTGGTAAAACGCAACGCCATGTCGGTTCGCGCATAGATATCATGCTGCACCGCTCACCTGATAAGTCTAGAGTTGTCAAATGAGGCATACAACTCAGAGTTCTTAGAAAGTCGGTAATTTTTGGCTTGGCAGGTGCGAAAACGTCAAAGCCATGTGGATCTTTTTCATCGGAAATATCTAAATGCCTCAATTCGTTTAGCTCCAGCAATACTGGTATTAAATTTCCGCATCCACTTATCTTTAAATTATACATATTTAATGTCTTTAAACGATCTTTACACTTTTTTAACGGCGTTACATCGTCGACTCTTGTACAAGATATATCTAAGCTCTCTAAAAGGGGAAGATCTTCGACTACTATGTCCAAGCCATGTTTATTAAACTCTGTTCCTGAGACATTCAAGGTATGAAGTGCCTTTAATTTGTTTAATGTTGCGATATCTACCATGCGTTGTCTACAACAAAATACGCACAAAGATATAAAATTATCAACTATTATAGAGAGCTTCCATTCGATTTAACAACATCACGAATATGCCAAGTGTCGTATAATAACCTTGAAAAATCCATAAAGCTTCCTTTAGCTACGCTCAGCGATCGAAGATTTTGTATGCTCCAATCGCCCAAGCAGCTAATTAAATCGTTAACAGTGATCTTGAGACCGTTTACTATTAAATCTATGACTTTATGTTGCTTAAGAACGCTTAAGCCTTTGGCCGACAGTGTCGACGCATCTTTCAATCGTACGTGTCTGGAAGAAGAGCATTCAAATTAGCATACAATTAGAGATTTTCCTCTTTCCAAAGTACGCTCGAGGCCTCGTCACCTTAATCTAGTCGTCTGCGCGTCGAAAAGCGTGATTGTTAAATCGGATAACGTTTTCTTCTCACATAGGTTGGATAGTAATTGCTCTGATACTTCGGCCGGCAAGAAGGCATCCGGGTGTTTAAAGGTAAGCCGAGTTGCTGAGCTGCTGGGAGCATCGTTAGACGATGTTTTACCTGCTGCAGTATCAAAAGTAACTTCTGCGCTATTATTGTTCGGCGCACAGATATCTTGCTCATCTAAAACTTATGCTGCTTTAATTCTGCAAGGTCGCTCGCCCAACCAACCAGCTAGTTTTGTTTACTTACCGGAGACGGCACCGCTACTCAGTGCATTGGGAGAATTTGTATCGCTAGGGTGAACCTTGCACAGGCCGAGAACGTTACCACAGATAAAGTCGATGCAAACCTCCTGGAGACTTCTCGGGGACTCGAACATCTTACGTTTCTGCTGTCATCTATGCAATAATCTCTAGCCCCCCCGTTGTTTCCCTTTTACACTGTCGGTTTTCCGTAGGGAGCACCAGCCGTTTTGCGGTTCCGCGCCTTGAAAAATGCAACAGCGGAGAAAACGCATGAGCCACTTGCCGTATCGGCGCACCTCTCGCCTACGTCCCAGCACCTCGGGCAAGTTATACCCGCGCGTCAATTATGTCGCGCGCTGTGTAAATGCGAAGTAGAAAAAAAAAAGTCCCCTGCGGGACACATACATGAAATCAACGTGAAGTTCACGTGAAGATTATTCCCAGTTGGCGTGAACTGCGTGCGGTCGCTCCCTTCCTCTCACGAGAGGCGAACGTCAGCGGGGGACAGCGAGGAGAGAGAGGGGGGAGGGAGGGGGCGCGATCGTAATCCCGCCAGCGTCGCACGGATAACAGGATCTCGAGCTACGGATTACGTAATGATACAAATCCGCACGCGGAAGCGGAAGAAACCAGAAGAGAGACGCGCTCTCGCGCCGCGGCACTGCCCGTGGCACCACGCTTGTCCCCGTCCGTCGAGTCCGCGGTACGCGCGTCGTGGCCGTCGAGGAGGGAAGAGCTCGGCCGTCGGCGGGGCCCCCCGAGGGCGAGCGGCGCGCGACGTAATCGCGGAAGCGATCCCGCTAGAGCTGCCGCGAGGACTCGCGGACTCTCATCTGTGATGCGGACGCCATGTTGACTCGGCCGAGTGTCAAAACAGACCAAAAAAAGAGCGCAGCCGTGTCGCCGTCGTCATCGTCGCCGTCATCGTCACTGTCATCGCGCGCGGCGCGCGGGACACGAGCGCGTCTCTCCCTCTCTCGCTCCTGCGCGCGCGCGCGACCGCCCAGCTGATCACGGGGGCCGCCCATAGACATAGTATATATAGACTGCGCATTGTGGCTGCTGAAGTGTACACAAAGCAGAAGTTAGCGCTTGCTAAGCGCTTTGCGTTCATTGGATTATACTTTCAGATCTGGGGAGCGATCACGTGCACCGATCGAATTCGAATTCGAGAAGGAATATGCCATCCGATACCACTCTTCGTACATGATCAATCTATGGTCTGAGGGAAACTATCCTATAATAAATAAGCATGAACCATGAAACCTGTAGAGTAGAGACGTATGAGAAGTCGACCGATCGAATTCGATCGTGCACGCGATCGCTCCCCTGTGCTGAAATAGAGCTATTCTTCTAGATCTATCCAATCAGCATAAAGCGCTTATTAAGCGCCAACTTCTGGAGAACACAGCCATTTATAGCGGCAGCTTGACCGCAAACCTCAATCAGATCCTCGAGCCTTCTTCGCTTGCTGTTGTTCTCATCTCACTCACTCCTATTGCTGTCCCGTTCGCTCTTATAACGACTGTGTTTTAAGATTCTCGATGCGATACCGTGACTTTTAACATGAGGCTTGTTTTCTGTTGCTACACTGGTGAACTAGTGCAATAAGTTAGAGTAGGACAAGTATATTTTTTCTCATTCTAGCTTACTGCACTAGTTCACCAGTGCAGCAATAGAAAACAAGCCTATGGTCTTCAATAATTTTAGATCAATTTTGAATTGGAACGCATATCTGTACGATACTTCTCATTTCGCTCCGACTTTATCGGCAGTACTTGAAAATGGGTGTAGCGGAATAGTTCCAAAAATGAAAATGGGCGTAAAGCGCTGGAATCAGTCGAGCGAAAACGGTAACAAAAGCAAAACACCGGCATGGCCGCTCTCAGGCCGGTATTCATAGTCGATTCTCATTTCAAAATCATCTTAAGTATCGTCTTAAGACGCTAATACAGCTCTGTGATTGGTTGAAAACACATTAAGAGCATACTTAAGATGATCTTAAATATAAGAACGGACTATGAATACCGGCCTCAGGTTTCTCTCTGGTGTTACCAACACATCGCTGGTTATTGTCGCGCATGTGCGACAAACGCGACCAGTTCGCCATCACTGCCCCTGCCCTGGGCGGCCTCGGCCCCGTCGCGCGTGCGCACACTCGCGCACCTCGGCGGGAGAGGACTCGGAGAACGCGGCCGCCGCCGCTTTATCGCCCGTGTATATCGCGGCCGCGCGAGCCACGTTCCGATTTCCATGTATGCTAGGAGCGGGCGAGGCGAGGGGCCGCGCCTCGTAGTGGGAGTTGGGAGTGCGCCGCGACTCGGAGAGGAGTCTAGCGAGCGCTCTCGGTCAGTCGGCTATTGACACACCGTCCCAATATGGCGGTGAGGTGGAGAACCGCGGTGTCGCGCGCCGCGCGTCGCGATCTCGTCGTCGCCGCGCAGTGAGAATCTTGCCAGGTGATTGATCCCATTTTCCCGCGCGTGTGACACGCCGGAGTGTCGCCCCAGCGGGCTCCCCTCTACGTGTGTCCCTTCTCTTCGACCCATGTCCTGATCGCGTTGCACCGACGGCATCCCCGATTCCCGTCGCGACTCTGCCGTACGCCAGGAAAACGGCGACACGTTGTAACTGTCAATGAGACGTCCGCGGATCTCTCGACGGAGAAAAGAATCCATTGCTCGGCCGAGCTCCCTCGTGCGTTGCTCAACGGACAATTGCGACTTCAGTTCGAACCTAGAGTGCGGATGTACGTACGTGGGAACACCTCGTGGCAGTTTCCCCTTCTAATTTAATCCACGGAACTTGTACAGATTCTACGGAGCGTCAATACACGATCAATTTATTGCACGTACATCCGATACGTGTCTCAAGCTCGTATTGGTTTTAAATTGAAGTTATAATTGCCTATTGTTGATTTAACCACATTGATTTTGTTCGTTTACTCCGTTTAAGTTTAGTAACTTTTACTCTAATTGCTCAAATATCAATCTAATCTCAATCTCAATCCGTAGTCTGATACGGGCTTAAGGGGAATCAATAAAATGTATTTACGACAGTTGCAAAGCAGCTTTTTCTGCTGAACGCAGCCACTGACATCTTCTTTAAACTGTGTATTATCGTAGGCTGGAATGAGACGGGGTAGATTAGAAATAAATTCGTCATTTGATAGGCCTGCATTATTAATCGCCTACTTTACACATGCACTTGATACGAGCATCAAATAGTAAATCACCAGTAACTTGGTTTACATCATTGGCTGATCAGTTCAAATACACTATTTGACACGTACATCAAGTGCACAATGTAAACTGCAATATGTGTTTATTGCAACAAAATTTTGTAATGCATTATTACGGATTTTTTTTAGGTTCAATTTGAGACCTGCCGCTGGCAGCTATAATCATGGTATGAGCCTTAGATGAAGTAATGTTAGACAATAATTAACATTCTTCTTAATCGCTGTACCTTTGCTTGGATCCCCCCGAAAGATGCCAAGTTTACGGAAGAAAGTTGCCGGCTTCATGCGCCAACTGTCTATCAGCAACTTGGCAGGGGCCGTGGAGAGCATAGGCCTCGGGGAACAACCGCTTCGAAGCCCGCAGTCACTGACTCAGGACTTTCCTGGCGGCTGTTTCATCACGCGCTACCTCAACGGGTAAAACTGTCGCGCTTACGTCCTGGCTTGTGTTGTCACGTCCTCCCGTTTGTCGCTAATTCATTTGCGTTCACGTCCCCAGGCTGGAGACGAAACAAGAGGGTCCGTCTATTTTACACGGCCGGAATCCAGAAGAATTGCCAAGCAGGCAGATCGACGCTTCTCAAGAAAACGAGGAAGTATTAGCGGCCTACACCGGACCCGATAGCGGCCTTACCGCGGTCAATCTTCAACAGAAGCATTTAAGTATCAACGACACCGACATCGATTACATTGATATGCTAGATCAAAATGAGCAATATAGAAGCGGTGAGTCTGGAGTGAAGACACTAACGAAGCGGACTTTCATGTCGTTGCGAAATAAAAAACAAACGAACGTGACGCCTCTTTCAGGATCGACCACGTCAAACATCGCGATCGCTGGGGTTACCGATTGGTTCAGTTCAAATGAAAATGTGTACGGAATTGCGACTACGTTGTACGAGAAGAATCCCACAAATGATACCAACAATGGAGAACCAATTGCCGATTGTTTTGGCGTTGTAGCGAGACCGAACTCTGCCATATTGGCTCTTGCGGATGGTGTGAATTGGGGTAAGAGCGCGGTAAAGTAGTGGAGAAGATAAAAAGGTAAAAGCAAAGCTGGGGGACGAGTGCAAAAAGTTTGGCTTGACAAGTTGTATTTGCAATTTCAGATTGTACTCGATGATTATCTTCGAGTTACAAGTATTAGCAACTTATCTCAAGAGTCTCTGACTCATATGATAGAAGAACATGATTAATTCTTTTTCCTTGTGCTTATCGCTTCAGTCACGTTTCGTTAGAACTAATCGAACTCGGCTCTTACGCCGCTGCTTCTACTTTAATGTGACTTTGCGAGTGATTCTTACAATTCGGGATTTTAGGTACGAAAGCGAGTATAGCAGCCAGATCCGCGGTTCACGGAAGCATAGAGTACTTGAATCGGGCACTGTTCTGTCCGTCAATAAATAGCGAAATGACAACGACAAAGGACGTATTTATAGCATTACTTCGATCATTCCACGCGGCACATTCGTTGATCCTTCAGGAGCAAGGGATGCTTACTACCTTAACAGTGTGCACGATCCTTCCACTGCCAAGCTCGAGCACCGATACAAATATATGCCAGAGAAAGTACATTGCCTGTACCTGCAACGTTGGTGATAGTTTAGCTTACGTATATTCAGGGTATGCGTTTCTCGTCACGTATTGAATTACGCAGCTGCAGCGAACGGTAAATAGAACCCGGTCGATAATCGTCTCTTTTAAAACGAAAACAGGAAAACTGGGGTGCGAGAGATAACGTGTGGATCTCACGATATTCACTGCATGCGAGACATGCGAGATGCCTTAGGAGCCCTGGGTCCGGTGGACGGCTCTAATCCCGAATTGAACAACTTGACGCTGGCCATAACGGAGGTCGAGAGGGGCGACATAGTGTTTCTGACCAGCGACGGAATCTCCGACAATTTCGACCCCGTGGTGGGAAAGTTCGCGGTCCTACCCAGCCACAGTGGCGACGCGGACGCCACGCTGAAGAGCCACGACGCGAGGTCGAAGACGCGTCGGAGATCGACGGAGAATCTGCGGCACACCGAGTCGAGCAACAGCAACGCGAATAGCAACAATCTCCCGGTGGTCGAGGCCTATCAGAGGCACGAGCTCACGCTGCTCAGAATGGAGGATCTGCTGAGACGCGGGGTTTCCGGAGAAGGGCCGCCGTGCAACAGTGCCAAGCATCTGTGCGAGCTCCTTCTGGACTTTGCGGTAAGCGACGAGGAAATGCATCCTTCGCTAATCCCCGCTAATCCCCGCTTTGTCTCGCAGGTGCGCATAACCGCGGCGAAGAGGCGGATCCTCGAGGACACGGAGTTGTATTACGCGCAGCACAAGGACGGCCACCTCGTGCAGCTCTCGAAGCAGGAGCAGAGGTCTCGGAGGAAGAAGACGCTGGACAAGATATCTATGATACCTGGCAAGCTGGACCACGCGACGGTCGTGGCATACGTAGTCGGATCCTAAATTTCTTCAAAGTGTAATTAACAGATAGAGAGAATATAGTTTTTATTCGTATAAAATTGATAGATTAAACTTTCTATATTGTAACATTCTTACCTAGCGTTAAATAAAAGTGCAAATATATCTTTTACAAGCCGGTGTCGAGTTTATCTCCAGGTGTCGTTAATTGGAGCGAAATCTCTAATTGTTCTCGACGCTCGCTAGCGTCAAATCGCTAGAAACGTAGCGGTCTAGCGCGCAGAGAGCATTTCTAATGCCTGTTCTACACCTAGGGATGGTCCTACTTGTGGCTCATCCGAGTGAGTAAATGGCTGCGTTCAGCAGAAAAAGCAGCTTTGCAGCTGTTGCAAAATTCTTTAATACGATTGTGGTTCTTGCCCTTAGTTCCCGTTGGATCTAAATGTATGAACCAATCGTATAAAAGAATCTTACAACTAAATGTAAATGTAAATACATTTTATTGATTTCCCTTAGGGTACCCAAGGAGAACAAAAAGTTAGGATGATGTCAATTTGATCTCACAATGGCCTAATAAATGTCAGAGTTTGGTCAATTTGATGCCATATTGGCCAAAATTTGACATTTATTAGGCCATTGTGAGATCAAACTGAAATCATTCTGACTTTTTGTTCTCCTTGGGTTACAAGGCGTTTTTGAAGAAACGTGCCCAAACCTCTTATATAACACCTCTCTCTATATCCACTTCGTTATGTGGCGATCGAACGAAAAAGCAACAAATGTTTCGTTTGGTTTTGAACCCGGATCTTCGGATTACCAGACTAGCGCACAATCCTCTGTGCCACGATCGCCACTCCAAAATATCTTACAACTAAAAATGTTTCACGGAGCAAAGTTAATTAAATATTGTAGAAAAAAATAAATTGAAGTAATATTAGATAAACATAATTTTATGACGTAAACTTGATCGTTTTGATGTCGCATTGACGCTTTTGTGATTAACTTGTTCTACTTGGGGTAGGTGTAAAACGGGAATAACGGAGAGCCCGCGCGACCACGTGTTACTTTTTCATTTCGCGCGGGTCTACGCGCAGGTCGCGCGCGGGCCGCGCGCCGCGCTCTCGCATTCCTGTCTCTCGTCTCTCCCACCTCCGTGGTCGCGAATAGTTTGCGCCGCCACGACGCGAGACGCCGCCAGTGGCGCCGGTCGTGGGGTCTTGCAGCGCCGCGTCAATGGCAGCCTTGACAAATACATGATGGCCGTTGCCACCGAATAGTGTAACGCGTACATGGTACCCGTCGTGTAACTGAAAAGTTTATTATTTTCAGTGGAGTATCGTCGGTCGCGCGTGCTCCGTGTGCGTTGTTTACCCCACGGCGAGGTGCGGCGGATCGCGCCCGTGGACGCGGGTATCGCGCGCGGCGAGGTCGCGCGCGGGTCGCCGAAAATTCCCAGGAGGAAAACACGGGGTGGCAAAAGCGCGCCCGCGGAGGTAATATTGACAATCCCTCGGCCGCGACGCTACGCGTACCC